TGGAGACAGTAGTCCTGTTATCTTTTTTTTTTGTTTTTTATTGGTCAGACAGTAGGTGCGAATTATTTTTACGAGAGCATGCATTTAGATTATTTATGTGAGTAAATATTTTTTCCTGAGTTGGAGTTTTCAGCACTTAATCACGTGCATTAGTGTCCCACAATACTGGTCGTTCCAATAAAGACCAATTGATTTCCTCGGTCCGTTGTCCAGATCGAAGCAGGATTTAAGCTCTCTTCCGTCGGGCATTAGCTCCACATGTCGTACGAATTTGAATTTCGAAATCCACAAATTTACCGCCGAACAACGACGGTCCCGTTAGATAGGTCTCGGCATTGGCCATAAAAGGGGCTTAACATCGCATTTAGCGATCGAACCAACCTACATTGGATTTATGTTCGTACCGTTCATCCATCATTCTCGGATAAGTGCTACCGGACAGATTGTTCTGTCTTATTAATCACTTACTCCAATTCAACTCAAACTTGTCTGTATATCTTTCTCTGTATCGTTTTGGCAATAGACTCGATCAACCTTAAAATAAGAATATTTAAAAACAAGTGCTTTGCAATCATTAATTGTCATTAATGGTTTACATTGCCGTGAAAAGGTAGCTCACTTCGATCGGTACTATGTAAACGTTCGAAGCAATTGTACAGTAATTCCAGATTTGGGCATTTTAAATCTCAGGAAAAATCTTTTTGATCCACCGAAGTCAATCTGTTTTCAATCATAATATTCGCTTAAATTATTAAATAAATAAAATTTATAACTGTCTCAATATTATATACTAGCCCGTAACCTACCTAAATTTGGACGATACTACTTTCTGGATGGTGTATAGCCCCCATTCACACCATAACTCTATCTATGTTCGTATATTTTACCAATCATACACGTCAAACAGGAACTTAATGAATTTTTCATGTCATTAGAATGTTTGCAACCAACCATACACGCATACAGAAGTATATAGACCCACACACTTCTTTCCAACTGTTTATTTCGAATTGGAATTCGTAAAAATTGCTGATTTTTAATTAAAGCTATTCTTAAATGTAAAATAATGAAATAAAGGTTAAAGTAATATTTATTCGTTAATGTCGACAAAAGTGTTGACGAAT